GGGCCCCCCCCCCCCCCCCCCCCCCCCCCCCGCGGGTCCTGAAGTCTGACCTTCTTCTGAGAATGCAGCCCTTCCAGAACGACGAGGATGTTCTGGTGCATCTTAGGCGTAGAGGCGTGAATGCATGCATGCATCAGGTCCTGCAGACAAACAACATGCAGCGAAGGGTGGCGGCCGACGTCAACGCCGCGCTCAGTTACCGACCGGTTCGTGGTCTGCTCGAGTTGGTACATGAGAACCGTGGGATTCAGATATCAGTTCGTTTGAAGTGAACAACCAACCAGCAACAACGACAAGAGAAGGCCAGGCATCCGTACAGGTTCGTGCTCGACACAAAAACGGACTGCAAGGGTTCGAAAGTCGAAACAAGCAGCCCAGGCAAGGAACTTGTCTGTGTGGCCTTCCTTCCCGCCCGAGCAAAATACACACACACTTGTACGACGATGCTACAGGAAATGAAGGGCAACCACAAGGCGTTTCGCAACAGGCAGCAGCCGCAAAACATCCGCACTAGCACCACCAGTAACACACAATAACAAGAGCAGCCGTAGCAGAACAACATGGACCGCAGGCAGCACCTTAACAACAGCAACAATGCCACAAGACGGTGATAGCAAAACTTACACAACACCAAAGTCTACACCCACCTGCAGGCAGAGCATCTCCACCTTCTCCAGGTACTGTCCCTCCGCCCCTCTCCACACTCGAAAGTACACCTGCGGATGGATGGAATGCACGCCCAAATAAACAAACAAACAAGTCAGCACACGCGACACGAGCATGACAAATAGTTCCATGTTGTTGTAGAGGTCACAGGTCGTCGGATCCGTGCAACAAGCCGGCAGAACAGCGAACGATACCAAGGATTTCATAAAACAACCTCGGACACACATGAAATCTTGCCTACACTCCCGGAGAGAGCTCTCGTCTTTTACTCACGACCCAAACGATTTAAGGGAGTAAGGACAAGCCCGATACTCGATTTCTAGTCTAAACCCAAGATATTTGGAGGCCAAAAAACAGAAAACGACGCCATGGCGTAGCGACATGCGCGTTGGCACGCCCAGATCTGTTGCCGGGGCCACGCAGTCGAAGGCGAACTGCTACGTGTGAGCACCCACCGTGTCGCCTGTTTTATCTTGGATTTAGAGTTGCGGTGTTGATACCTTCATACAAGAGAAGGCGTGCGGAGGTAGTCAACATGATGCTGTGCTGGTGGAGACGAGCCCAAACCGCTGCTCTGTGTAACAACTGAAGAATTCTTCCTGTGGAACACTTCGTATCCGTTCTTGTGCTTCTCGTGTGTGATCGGTGGGCGCTCTTTTGATGTTTTTTATAACCAGTTATATAAAAACAACGTACGCCCAAAGCAGTATCTGCTTCAGCACACCTCGACCCAGTACTAATTTCATGGATAAACCTAAACCCGATCTCTCGATCTTTTCGGGCCGTGGGTAAAGGATCCCTGAGTCCCCTTCGGATGTCCAAAGACCGGCGAACGAACAAGTACTCTGTATCGAGATGAAAAAAATACGGCCCTCACGGCGCCCGCCAACCAACTCACCTCCCCGTAGGCGGCGAGCACGGCCTTCTTGGCCCCGGGCATCTGCGCCTTCATGACGGCGTGGATCTCGGACACGAGGGACGGGTGTAGGCCGAAGAACGATGCAAGGAGGCGTTTACCCTCGGAAGACTTGAGGTACACCGGGGACATGAACGTCCTGCACCGTCGACGGTGATCATTGTCGGCAAAAGGTTCGTTTGGGGAAAACGTACCGGGGGTAGGCGCATGTTGTACTGGCGCAAAAACAGAGGTTCGTTCGGGAAAGAAACATACGGAGGTATGCTCGTGTTGCAACGGCCCGAATTTACGAAACGTGCAGGGGGACATCCGACAACGATGCCAAATTTACTCGCGTCTGGAGTATCCCCGCGTACATAGCCTGGCTCGAGGGATCCCAAAAACCATGCTTGCACGTAGAAAAGTGACAGGCACGGGCTTATATAGCATCAAAATGAGGCAGCGGTGCGGTCAGACAGGACAGGGGGAGGGGACTGGCAACCTCGGTAGTACCACACGGGCGGGAACACCACACGATAGCAAGCACCGGCCTGCACCTCGAAAAAAGCTTGAAGGTACACAGCAAGACCCGTTTGCGTGTACTGTACGCGCACAAGAGTCATTCCAATGCCAGCCGACAAACCTGAGTAGCAGCGCCCTGAGGCTGTCGCTGCTCTCGTCTTCGAAGTCGAGGAGCAGCAGCGCTCCCTTCACCCTGAGCGAGGGGGGAGTCAAAGACGGAATATATACGCGGGGTGGACGAGAGAACGAAAACGCCAACTTCAAGAACAGAATATGGACAAAGAGCGAAACCGCTCCAACTTCGTCGATACCATCAACCAAGCGGGAGATGAGCGAGCGAGCCGGCCGAGCAAGAGGGTACCGCCATTGCTTCACATTGTACGATGCATGGATTGGCGGCACACTACTGCTGGCAACTCTAAGCTGGGACCCCCACACCGTACTCATACATCCCACGACGATACATGAACGGCGGTGGAATGCGGACAAATCTTACGCGTGCATCCTCTTCACGTCCGCCTCCTTGGCGTCCGGGCTAAGAGATCGGACGAGCATCACCGGTATCAGGTGCACCACCAGGTGTTCCGCCCCGGGCCGGTCCTGCGTCCACCACATCTCGCACACCTTTCGATCCATCGGTTGGTTGATTTTTTTCGCGGCGGCGTGCCAAGGCCATGGCGGCGGCGGCAGACACAGCAGAACAGGCGAACGTTAAACAGCAGCGTGAAAAGGACGACTTCGTCTACACGTTTTTGGTGCCAATTCCCCCTATACTTGCTTGATTTTGAAAAACGCAATCGTCGCCTTCACCTCTGCGATTGATGAAGACCGCACCCCCCAAACGGAGCAAGCTCAAAAGTGCTATGATGTTCCTCGCGCTCAGGTCCCACCTTCTGTCTTTTTACATCAATATTTTCCTACAACATTATTCCAAAGCACTGCTGTTTTCGCTACTGCTGGATCGTTCACCTTGGCGATGACCCTCCGGAGAGCCTCCCCTTGCAGCCCCTGCAGCGACAGTACGATGTCGTGCAGGTACACCGCCGTGTCTACCAGCGCCCGCGGCGCGACGCGCTCCTTGTCGGCCAGGAACTCATGGGCAAGTGTCGCTGCGGCGTATAGCACCTGTACTTGTCGTGACCACGCACCCCACCCCCCACCCCCCACCCCGTCCGCGTACCCCCCGCGCAAGGTTGTGCCAGACGTTGCAAGACAGAATGTGAGCGACGAGCTTGTGCGCGTGCGCATCATGTGGTAGGCATGTGGTATGTACAAGAAGCCCAACGCAGCTTTGCACAAGGCTCGTGTCTGTCGTTGAAATGCCCAAAGCAAAGAAAGGCACACCGACCTTTCGGAAGGAGAGACATGGATGTGCAGACGAAAAACTACACGTCGAGTGTGCCCCGCATTCTTCTTCCCGTTCCCCCCAAAAAACGCGCGCCACGCGAGGAGCATATCTCAGACCCCCTTGCCGCGCAGTTAAACATGGCCACAAAGAACCACCGTAGGCGCCCACGGAATGGAGGCCTCGCAGGATAGCGACGCCGCCACTGCTATGGTACATGTATGGTGGCAGAATACACGCGACGGTCGGCAGCAAGACAAAGGCGCGAACCCCAGCGGAGTAAAACACACACCAGCGAGGGGTACCTATTCATTAACACGATACACGGCAGCCAGGAAAATACCGACCTCTATCTCAATTGAAACGCTTGCTTGGTTGTTCTTCTTCGCGTTTTTGTCGCCGGAGCTTCCACCGCCCCTCCCGCCAACGTCGCCGCCGCGGTCGGTCGCTCCCCGACGTGACCGGCGCGGCATCGTCTCAGCTCCTGCGCTCTCCTGGGTAGACGGCCGCTCAGGCATAGTGCCTTCTCCCTTTGCTTCTCTGATGCTGTTCTCCTCCTCCTCCCTTTCTTCCTCGTCGTCACTCTGCCGAGAAAGAGAGAGAGAGAGAGAGAGAGAGAGAGAGAGAGAGACAGACAGACAGAAGACGGAGAAGTTTGGAGGTCAACGTTTGCTTAGTTGGACACTTTGGTGGCCTCGGTGGCATGTCGTAGGCAAACGCCCAAAGCCAGACGATGGCTTCATTGTTCATTGTTCACGAGCTCGAGTCGTAGCAAAGAATGATATGAGCTTTCCCCGACTCTTCGCTGAACTCCAATCTGCGTTGCGGTAACTCCTGTCCTACAGCAGTCGTGCCGTTTCCCACTCGATAGCTGACAACTGGAGATGCGCAGGATAATTCTTCTGCAATCCATGCCTTCACCCTCAAAGCGTGGCAGGCTCGTAACTCCTGTGTGTAGACTACTCATAATCAAGCGCTCGTCAACACCTTGCTGGACGACACGCACGGATCCGCGCAACAATGTTGGGTTCACAACAACTATTAGAGCAGCGGTAGTGGCAACTTCTACCGTCGACGCTGCTCCTCTTGCTTCGCAAATCGAGACTAGGTCCTTGCACTGCTTCGCTGGTCGTATTGCCTCGAACAGAACTGCGCGCATGTATGTACGCGTGAAGTAAAAGTTTTAGTTGCAAAGCGGGGCGTTGAAGCAGACTTACAGACCGGGAGCATGAACACCCAGAAAGCTACGACTGAGACCGTCACAACACAGAGAATACGCTCACCTCTTCCTCTTCCTGGGACGACAAGAACCTTCCCTGTTCGACGATCGACGCCACGGCCTCCAGGACCCGGGTCCACACCCGATTGTGTTCCTTCTTTGACATGGTCTCGAACACCTCTCCGAGGTTCAGGTCATCACTCCTGCATGGCATGCGTTCGGTACACATGCATAGCGCGAACAACAGACATCGTACGAAGACACCAGGTTCATGTGAAACCATCTTGGTTACCAAGTTTTGCAGACCAACCGCACCTTCATACTTTGAGCAATTCCGCGGCCTTGTGATAAGCTTGAAGTGTACAGCAGTCGATGCACGACGTGTGCCTCCCCTTCGAAGCAGGGAAGCACCTTTTCCCACAAAAAAATAAGCGAACGAATAGGATATAACCACGGCCCGACACCGACACAAACCACCACACCAACAAAAAATCTTGCTCGAGGGGAGAGCCCGCACGGGTCAATTGACACCTCAACACCCTAGGTGTACGGGACATGGGACAGGCTGTCGACATGTTTGTACAATTGCAAGGTTTGCATACGTACCAACAAATAAATTTGACCAAGAGTAACAAGGACACAACCATTGTTGTGCCACAGGTCAATACGCCGCATGAACCACCCGCAAACATTTAGGCATGCTATTCCGTAAGCTGCTACAGCAGCAAGAATCACCGCCGAGGGTACAACCGGCGTGCGTTCTGCAGCACAGCACAGAGAGCTCTCGACAAGCCCAAACACCAGCCAAACATTGTTCGCCGACGTTGTTGTTGTTGTTGTTTGTTGTTTCTCACATGAGCTCTATAAATAGTCCACGAACGTGTGCCGAGCAAACGGACACCCGCAACGTCAAAACAGCGGCGATTTTTCTTTCAACAGCACGTTCGAGCAGTATCCTTGCAGCAACAGGAGTAGAACACCATTAAACCAAGGTCACCTCGAGGAATGACGCTTGACATAGACCAGGAGACTCTCATATCGCGTTGCTGAGCCCTCCTCGCCTTCTCCAGCAGGCGCTGCTGCGGCCGCCTCGCCGACTGCGGCAATCAGCGCTTTCTTGTCATCCATCCCGTCTTAGCCACCAAAAAATAGACCCAAGAAGATGGGTGTCTACGCAAAGACACCTCGGTAGGGTTGGCCAAGACCTACTGCCTTTAGTTCCTAGTCCCACTGACGAGATGGAGGCACCGGCTGTCGGGAGACGGTCCTGTGCTGCCGTGCTGTGTGCTGTGTCAAAAACCGTTGATGTTTTTTTTCAGCGGATGTTTTGGGGCGCCGTGGTTGCAGTGCAGCGTGCCCCCCCCTCCCTTCCGCGCCGTTGCCCGACAGTCCGGTGCGTGGTGGCGTCGACCACCAATGCGAGTCTCTCCGCCCTCAAGTCTCAACTTTCCACTGCTGTTGCTGTGCACATCGCGCTGTCTGAACGGGCTGTAGAGTTTCCACTCACAAGATCCTCGATCTCGGTACCTGTCTCTTGCGTCATGAACAGTAGCAGCGGGGTCGAACCCCAAAGAGAAGGACTCATATCTTCCAAGCGGGATGTACTGCTGAAGCTAACACATTGGTTTCACCAACCCTCAGGCACACATGTACATGGGCACGTGCGCTACATAGGCAATTCAACCCCGTCGTGATTATAGGCGACATCATGTTTCCAACATGTCCGTATCAACCTTTGTGACAGCAACTCGGAGCTCGCTATGCCCGTCACTGAGTACGTATTCGTACATTTGATTCGACGAAAAGTTTGGGTAGGCAGCCACCACCAGGCACATCGTTGGTTGGCTGTGCGCTTGGCCCTCCGTTCTCAAGTCGGAACGCGTTTGTGCTTTTATTATTAGCATCGACCGCGCTAATCGGCTGACCAATGAAAAGACGTCAGTCTCAGTGCGGCGGGAAACATAAAATGTTTCTATAGTCCACTATCTGGGACCCCGGGACCGAGCGTCGTAGGGGGAGCTACGCTATTCTCAGGATTAAAGACAGATACCGTAGTAATAACAGAAGAAAACTGAACGTGTCTACTAAGACTGTCACCCTGCACTCGACTTCGTTTAGGAGTGCTCTCTCTATCATTCCTCTTGCTTTCACCACCACTACCATCACTATTCTCATCGTCATTTTGGCAGCAACTTTTTGGCAGCTCTTCTTCTTGTCTGTCTCTCCGTCTTTTGTTGTGCGGGAGGTCCTCTGGCTCGAAGCTCTTGCTCTCTTCCACGCCATGATTCCCTTCTCGACTGCTGTCTTGGTCTCTGTCTTGTCCTCCTCTTGTTCCCTCT